CAGAAATTAACCAACTGTCACTAGTAATAATCAGATATATAGAGATTAGAAACGCATGTACAAACACCTTAATGTCAATTGCACTAAAAATGATTTTTTCTGTATGAAACTGTATATTTTAACAATGAAATGGAGATATTTTTAAAGGTTAAAACCTCATTTAATTTTATGTCTTATAGGGTTTATACTGAGTAAAATATTGTATAACTGTAACAATTCAACTGTAAACCTAAAAATTTACAGCCAATTTTGAAAAAGATGCATCTTAGCTCAGAAAATTGTTATTGAATATGTCAATGCTATTGTAATGAACTGCTTCTTCTAAGTATGTGATTATTAAAAAATAACAAACTGAAAAAAAACATTCAATTTGAAATAAAAACATTGAAAGATCTAGGTGAAAGTGATGATCTGATTCTGTCTGAATAATAATGCACTTCTTTAGACTAGCTTATATTTAACCTGATATCAGTATCAGTTAAAGATTAAGGGAAGATTATAGAATGCTGGTTGTGGTGGCATGAGCCTTAAAGTCCAGGCCTCAGGCAGAGGGAGGTGAATCTCTGTGAGATCGGGGCTAGCCTGACCCACATAGTAAGTTCCAGGTGATCTGGGACTAGGGAGACTCTGAGAGATTATACAGAAATGCAGAGGTGAATCCAAGCACATCATCAGAATGATGATCAGGTTTTCTAGGATAGTGACCAATCATAGACAGGAACAGGATAGAAAAATGAGCAGATAAAGCTCTAAATCAGCTATCAGTGCCTGAGAAAAGAATATTGGAATAGCTATTTTGTTTCTGTGTTCTGTACAGTTTTTGAGCCTATGTAAAATAATGATTAAAAGACAAAACAAGAAAAGGATAAAAGGGTAAGTAAATAAATAAAGTGATATCTTGTCCCATAGAAGTAACAATTTTACCTGGAGACTTATTAGGAATGTCAGTATTGGCGGCTGGATAGATGACTCAGCAGTTAAGAGCCCTGGCTACTTTTGCAGAGGACCCAGGTTTGATTCTCAGCACCCTTGTGATAGCTAGCAATCTTTCTTAACTCCATTTTTAGGGTATCTGATGTCCTTTTCTGGCCTCTGCAAGAATTGTACAACACAGTTTCATTTATATACATGTAAGTAATACACTTATACAGATAAAATAAATATAAGTAAATATTTTTAAAAGAATGCTGGTTATTGGATCCCAACCTAACCTACTGAAAATAACTGAAGAAATGAACATCAACAATTTTGCATTTTTATGATCTAACATGCCCTCCCACATATTTTAAAGTTTAAGAATCTTTGTTCTAGAACACTCTTCTTCACTGCAAACCCAAAATAAATATGAAAATTACTTTGCTTGTCTGTGTTTTATCCATTTTCTCCCATACATTTTCTGTATTTAATTTCTTCACCCAATTTTATTGATTTCTAATTTATTCACACATTGTGCCAAGTGCTAAAAGTGAAATGAAATGTCATAACTTTATTCATGCAGACTTGTTTGCTACTTTAATAACAGATATAAACATTAAAGTAAAATTGTGAATTCCATTTCATCCTTAGGGAAATTCTTTTCCTAAGATCTTAGGTGTCATGTAATTAGAAGGAAAATATAAACTTCCAGGGGAGATATGTAAAATATAGGCTTATAAAACACATATGAAAATAGGGACAATATATTGCTGCTCAGAAGACATGGTAACATGGAATATTATACCAGTATCACTTTTCATAGGAGAAATGTGAATTTCCTCCTTCTAGAGATACACATACCCCATAGAAGCGGAAATCTCATAGGTTACCCTTAGTCTGACAAACTCGATTAAATTTAGGTTCTGCGAACTTATTTTTTATTAGAGAGAAAGAGAGAGAGAGAGAGAGAGAGAGAGAGAGAGAGAGAGAGAGAGAGAGAGAGAGAACACGTGTGCACATGCTCACATGTCGAGGTCATTGAGCAGCTTACGGAAGTTGGTTTCCTTCTTCTACCGTGTATATCCTAGAGAGTGAACTGAAGTCATCAGGCTTGGAAGCAAGTACCTTAACCCCTGAGCCATCTCATTAGCCAGGAATCTGGTCATATTTTGAGGGTCAGCATTCAGTCTACTAAAGATATTCAGTCTGGGTGATATATAGAAAGGTTACTCAATGGTCCAAAGAAATACTCTCAGGTTTCTACCTCTTCCAGCATACCCAGAAAACACACTTGAATTTGACTAACATGGCTTGCTGACCTGGTAGGAAAACAGTCTTAGGATATGACCACCTCATGAAGGCCTGGAGGAATGCTATTTCTTCCAACATATTTTCTACCATGAAGGTACACACTGAAAGATAACTTTTTTCATTATGAATGTTAAGGCCTTTGTTCTATTAGGAATGAAGACACTTTCACTGATGAATTATAATTCTCTTCTAATCATCCCAAACTTCTGATATCATATAAATATATCCATTCTGAAGATAATGCCATACAACATGCTGGGTGATATGTTTACCTCACAGGCACATAGACTGTAAGTTAATAGGTCACAACTAATTTTTTACAGGGAATGAATGTATATTGTTTGCTTCACCATAGATCTAACCCTCTGACACAATTTCCATGGTCTTAAATAGACAACCAAGTGAAATTTTTTGCCTAGATATGACCAAAGCTTAAAATTGTTTAAATATTTATTTTCTGGATCAATTCACCTCCTACATACCCAGTGTTGAGAATTCTCCACAGCAAACTTTTTAAGAACCTCAAGATTCAGAATCTGCATCTGTGTTTCTAAGCAAATGAAGTATGAAAAAAGATTTTGTATCATGCCACAAAATCATAGAAATAGACATAAAAGTTAGATTTCAATGCAATAATAATGTTGTTGGTTATAAATTTAGAAGGACATTGTAAGAGAATAGTAGGCTTTCTGACTCACCAGAAATCATTTACTTACACTAGAAATTGATGTCAAGTACATGAAACATCATAGAAGAGAAGCTGTCCTACTGAAGAGTTTCCTCAGAGCTTCCTTCATATCTCTGTTTCTAAGACTGTAGATAAAGGGGCTCAGCATTTGAGGGACCACATCACTGAAGCTGCTGCAGTTTTCTTTGATACGTTTGTGATGGCAGAGGAAATGTACACATGAAAACCTGTCCCATAGAACAAGAACACCACTGACAGGTGAGACCCACAGGTAGAAAAGGCTTTGTACTTTCCTTCTGATGATGACATTCTTAAGATAGAAGACACAATGTGGGCATAAGAAAAAATCATCCCAGAGAGAGGAATAACAACAAATACACAGGATGAAACATATATCAGAATGTTATCAATGAGGGTGTCCAAGCATGCCAGCTTGAGAATCTGAGGAAGTTCACAGAAGAAGCTTAGAATAGTCAGGTGAGTGCAAAAGGACAACTGCAGCACCATTGGACTGTGCACCAGGGAATCCACAACACTAATGAGCAGAGACAGTAGAATTAGCAGGACACAGAAACAGGGGTTCATGATGACTGTGTACCTTAGGGGATGACAACTAGCCATATAGCGGTCACAGGCCATTACTGCAAGGAGGCAGTTTTCTAATCCTCCAAAAATTAACACAAAGCTCATTTGGGTAAGGCAGCCTCTGTAAGTGATGCTGGGACTATTTTCTTGGATGTTCACTAGCATCTTTGGGATCACGCTTGTGCTTAAAAAGATGTCATTTAAGGACAGGTTGGAGAGTAAAAGGTACACAGGAGTGTGGAGATGTAAGTGTCGGGGGTTCGAACCCACGATCCCCGGTGAGGAAGCATGCTGTTCACCAGCCCACGCTGCCCCCATTACCTGGGGACACTCAGACTCAAGGGGGAAGTCTTAGTCAGGCAGAGACTCATTTATTGCAAGTGTTCCAAAGCTTATAAAGGCACCTGGAACTCCCCCTCCCCCCCAGGGTATATCTTAAGGATGGTCACGCACTGATCATGCACTCCTCAGCAGTGCGGAAGTATTCCTCAGACTTTCAAAGCAAGCCAGGCCACTCCCCCAGTAACTTCCTTTCGCACCTATGCAAGGTGGGACCTTTAGGTCCCCACAAGTAAGAGCTGAAAGTCAGGATTATTAGCATGTTTCCCAAGATAGTGACAAGGCACATGAAAAGGAACAGGCTGATGAGGGCAGGCTGCAGTTCTGAATCATCTGTCAGTCTCAGAAGAAGGAATTCTGGAGTAGATGTTTGGTTTCTATTTTCCATGCTATTGATGAATCTGGAGGAAATAAAGGATAATAAAATGTTTGTATCAAAAGCAGAAGTATTACTTTGGAGAGTATTAGACTATCGCCCTTGGACCCTAGAGATATGGCTCAGGAGTTAAAGCACTTGCTATACCAAATGTGACACTCAGAGTTTGATTTCCCAGAAACCAAGATAATGGGAAGGTGAGAATGTCAGCCTATCTGTAGTCCTAGCTATAGATGTCAGAGAGAAGAGAGCCCCAGAGCAAGCTGGCTAGCAAGAGAAGCCACACTGTTGAGCTCTGAGTTTGATTGAGAGAACCTGCCTCAGTGAATAAGGGAAAAGAACATTGAAGAATGATTCCAAACATTAATCTTGGGCCACCACATGAACATTCATGCAGGTGCATACACATCCAAACTTGAGTGTCCACATGCCAAAATATGCATATGCGCATGTACTCACACACATGAAAATTGGACAAAGAAAAAAATCAGCTAAAAAAAGGATATTCCTGTCGACATTTTAATCTGGAATTGAAGCTGTCATAACAGTGAGAAAAAATACATTGTAAACCATCCAGGCTGTAGTTCTTCTTATAGGAAAGTGAAGCAAACAAATGATATACTGAAAAATACCCTCAATATCACATAAAGAAAATTAAATAGAGAAGCTTTTTATATAGTCTTAATATTTGAGGGGAGATATTTCTGCTCAAAGGAAATTGACTGTCTCCTCAGGAATGTATGTAAAATAAAGATGAACAGCTTGATAAGTGTGTGAAAATATATTGAAAATATGCAAAAGTATTGAAAGGACTTCTTCCTCATCATTTTTGACATATCCTCTTGTCACAGCTTCCTAGGAAGACAAATTAGTAGCACTATTGAGTTCTTTGTGAGTGTTATTTAAAGGTGTTAATTCTACCTTGTAGCTTCAAGAGGAGTAAAGTTCAACATCACGCATGGATATTGAAGGAGGAAGGTATGTACATGGGAAGTGGTGCATCCTTTGCAAAATGAAAACCAAATGAATCCATGACCTCCTTGTCCTAAAGGATCATCATCTTAGCCAGGGTCTCAAGAGGGACCATCACAGACTGACTCCTAGTCAATGTATTCCTGGGAATTCATTATCTAAAGTTCCTCATTACATAAGGATTTGCTTTAGAGTTTTGACCCCAGGAGTGTACATCCCCAGAGAATATAACTATAGGAAATTGGAGTTCACATTCATTCTGTTTCTTATTCCAAGTTAAGCATCCAATAATCAAGGTTCTTATTTCTATTCTCTTCCATTTCACATGCCTTGAACATATATCACTTATTTTTTCTATTAAATTTCAATCTTATATTTGCCATATACGTTTGTTCCACAATATCAACAAGCCTGAATTAAGTTTAGGTTACAAAAATACATCCAACATGCATGCCTCTAAATACTAGTAATATCAGCTAAAATATTTTTAAAATGCCAAAACTCAGAGACATCCCTTCTCAAGTTTCATTAATGTTGTTAGAATTCTTATTGTAATTTTTAATGTTTTCTATAGAAGATTAAAAGTTACAATGCTTGAATGTTGATTACAGAAAAAAGTATAGACAGAGATGTTGATTCTTGTTGAGAGCTTTACTAATATTCTATCTAATTTGAATGTAATAGTTTAATGTTTATTGTCCTTTAGAATATTGGAAATAAAGGAAACTTTTTCTGCATTTTAAGTTGAGACTTTAATTGAATTAGAAAATCATGTTAAACAGGGTATTTGGTTAGAACTTAACATTAACTGAATATGTTTAACTAGCTTTTCATGGCACTCCTCATTTTTAATAAAAACACATTTAACATTTCTGTATTTTCTTTTTAGTAGTTTATTGTTCATGTTAACTTTTTCTATGAATTTTACAATTTATGATCCTCAGGATATATTATTTGACAACCAACTTTTCTCAAAGTGATATTATAATTTTCACCTAATTCAATGAACTTTTACTAACCTATATGATTTCACAGCTTAATTAATTTCTCTGTAATATTTCAATGTTGACATAAAGTAAATCAATAAAATCCAGTCTTTTACATTTTTCCTCATTTATTTTTATTTTATAAGTATGCACGTTTTTCCTGCATATATGCAATGCTCCCATGTCTTGCAATGCTTGTGGAGGCCATAAGAGGGCATCAGACCTCCTGGAACTGGAGTTACAGATGGTTATTAGTTGCCATGTAGGTTCCGGAATTGAACTCAGGTCCTCTGCATGAGAAGCCAGTGCTCTTATCCACTGAGCCATCTCTCCAGCCCCAAATCAAGTCTTCTCATGCCCATTCTTCCCAAATTGTAGTGATCCATGAGGATGACTTTCTTTTTATAACTTCCATTCAGAAAAGCAACATGCAATATGTGACTATTGATATCTTGGGTATGGATCTATACTTTGAAGACTGGGCAACCTAACAGGCATCATACCAGTCAGGAAAACTGACACTCCATCTCTCAGCATCTATCAAGTGCCTACAGATCCTCAACTAAGCCTGACAATTTCTGCCCTACTCTCCCATCCATGCTGGGCCTCTGTCTGCCTTGAGTTTTCACAGGTCTTGTGCATGCTGTCATAAGTGCTGTGGGATTATATGTGCAACTACCCCGTGGTGTTCAGACAATATAGTTTCCTGGTATTCATCTACCATCTCTGAGTCTTAAAGGGCTTCCACTCCCTGCTCAATTTCTTAGCCTTATCTATTTTACTAACTGTTTGAGAATTTCATACATGCATATAATGTGTTTTTATCAAATTTAGCCCAACTTCTCTCCCCTCCAACTCCTCCAATATCTTTCCACTAGTTTTTGTTCCCAAATTTATATACTTTTTGAAATATACTGAGTCCCTATAGTGTTACAATATGTCCACAGGGCCATCCACACTCCTAAAGAAAGCTTTCACTAACCCTTTAATTATCAATAGCTTTTCAGATAGGGGTTAAACTTCATGAGCCCCTCTTTGATACACACTGGGATTTTGTCTGGCTTCTTTTTCTCTATGTCTTATTCACTCAGACACAGTCACTGAAAGCTCATGTGGGTAATTCTCTTGTCAAGTGCTAAAAATACTGTTTGATTCATAGCAATCCTCCACCACCTCTGTACCTTACAATCTTCCTGCCCTCTATTCCACAATAATTCCTGAACCCATAGTGAGGGATGCGATGTACATATCTTATTTAGTACTAAATACCCTAAGGTCTCAATTATATGTTCTTTGTTAATTGTGAGTCTCTGTTTTAGTTCCTGTTCATGCAAAATGAAGCTTCTTTGATGAAGGTTGAGAGAAGTGCTAGTATATGGATATAAAGATAAGTATTTAGGGATAGTTTAATACAACGTTCATTTAGCAGACTACATATAGTAGTAGTAAGTTCTTGCCTAGAACCTATGACATACCCAGCCATAGGTTATTGTTCCAGTTAACAGGACCAGGCATGAGTTACATCTCCAGTAGAGGCCCTTAAATCAATTCATAAAGGGTTGGTTACTCCCATAACATTCATGCTGCTATTACATCAGTGGGCAGCTATGTCTTGCCAGATTACTTGTTGTAGTTCATAAAATTCAGAGCTAGGTAAGACTATTGATTACTTTTCTTCTTCAGGAGCATGTATAACACCTTCCACCAGTATGAAAGCTAGCCAATAGGGGTGAAGTTTCCAAGTTAGTATCAGCTTTATTTCTCCCTGTTCTACAACTCAAGTATGTAGCATTTTAAATAAGTTCTACAAGGTAACCCAGAGTTATGGCAATGTTTGTGATATTTAAGGGATCTATAAGACATCACTGACCACCAATTCAAAAAGAAATGTCTTAGAGTATTTCTGCCAACCTCTTCTGCAAAAGTTCCTGATCCTTGGAGGAGGTGGTAGGTATGGGATGATCTTCCTCCCATTGTGGCAATCAGCCTGCTTTCTTTTGCAATACAGGACAACCTGCCCAAGGGTGGCACTGCCCACAGTTGACTTAACTCTGCCACATCATTAAACAATCAAGAAAACACCCCATAGACATGGCCACAGGCAAATCCAATGGAAGGAGTCCCTCAGTTGAGGTTCCCTCTTCCCAGGTATGTCAAGTTGACTACTAAAGCTGTCCAGCACAATTGAACCCTTGTCAACTTGACACATAAATGCATCACTTTTAAACCACAAATATTCCATTTCTTATCCCCAAACTACAATGTTAATATTACAACATCAGATAGTAAAACTTTAAAAGTTCTACAGACTGGGCTGGAGAAATGTCTCAGTGGTTAAGAGCACTGACTGCTTTTGCAGAGGACCCATGTTCGATTCCCAGCACCCACATGGTGGCTATGAACTGTCCTTAACTCCAGTTCCAAGGGAATCTGCAGCCCTCTCCTGACTTCCGTGGCATTTCACGACATGGGTCCACTCACATAGATGCAGGCAATATATTCAGACACACAAAATTTTTTTTAAGTCCCACAGACCTTAAAAAATCCAGACAGTTTAAAAAGTTAAAAGTCTCTTTTAAAAGTCTCTTAATTGTGGACCCCTGTAAAATCAAAAGCAAGTTAAGTATAGTCTTATTTCACAAGGGAAGAATCAAGCACACTTAAGCAAAACCAAAGCCCGGTAAAGTAGCTCAAGGCTGGACATCTGGGATTCATTCACAATTTTCTGGGCTACAAAGAGCCAGAGTGTTAACTGGAAATGTCCTCCAACCACTATGTGGGCAAGCTATAGTCACACCTCCTTCCCAGTTTCATTAAGGAGTTGAGGCTGGACTCATTTATCAGCCCCCAATAAGTCGACCTTAGCTGCATGTGGGGGGAGGGGCAAAGGATATATAAGCCAAGAACACCAAGAGGCATCACAATTTTGTGCTGATATTGGGAGGTCACAGGATCTGTATTTTGAGTGTGGACTCTACAGCACAGCTGTAAATGTGAGGCACCACTCCTCTGTAAATAAACCACTACCCTATGCTCTGTTAAAAAAGTAATAAA